CTTCGGACGTCGGCGAGCCTCAGTGTGGGAGAGGAGAGGCATTAGACTAGAGCACGAAGTTAAAGGTGTACAGGGCAGTTGTACTGCCATCACTACTGTACGCCTGCGAAACATGGACGATCTACGCACGTCATGCCAGAAAGCTCAATCGCTTTCACATAAACTGCCTGAAAAGACTCATGAAGATCACTTGGCAAGACAAAGTCCCAGACACAGAGATCCTCCAGCGGGCCGATCTGCCAAGCATCCACACACTGCTGAGGAGAGCCCAAGTCAGATGGGCAGGCCATCTGGTAAGGATGCCTGACACACGGCTACCGAAGAGACTCCTGTACAGTGAACTGGTAGAAGGCAAGCGCTCAGTAGGAGGACAGAAAAAGCGCTTTAAGGACACACTGAAAACAACTCTTAAAAGTTTCAAGATAGACACATCTACCTGGGAATCAGCAGCCCAAAACCGTGCTGCCTGGCGCAGCCACATCAGCAGCGGTGCTACTCTCTACGAGAAAAGCAGGATCGCAGAAGCCGTGAGGAAACGCGCTTCCAGAGCTGCCCCCACATCCCGGACTCCAGAAACCCACCTGTGCCCGACCTGTGGCAGAACCTTCAGAGCCCGTATAGGACTTGTGAGCCACAGCCGGACACACAAGACCTGATGTGATGTTCATTGGTCATCGTCGACTACGACGGACGAACAACAACATATATTATAATATATCTATTTGATAAGCTCTACATGACTTGATACAATGATATACAATGATTTACACAGTTATATATTATACATATACAATATGCTGTATCCTGTTGATGATGGCTGAAAAGTACATATTGTATATGTTGTATACCGCCTGGTATATTATCTTTCATCCCAAAAAAATATTTTCTTCATTTCTCATTTCTTATAGAAACTGAGGAAAATCAATAAGGTCCTATCCACCTTGGGCTACAAAGTGTTTATTTAGAATTCATCTAGTATCTATCCAGCAGTTTATTACATATACAGAATATATCATGATCAAGAATAACTTTTTTTTTATTTTTCAGATGATGTCCTCTGTCACTGGCTGTACTGTTTCTTGACAAAATACTTGGTCAACAAAGTCCTTTCCCCCTTGGGCTACTAAATGTGTATTTATAATGTATCTAGTAACATCCGTCCATCAGTTTACTACATCTTGATCAAGAATAACTCTCTTTTATTTTTCAGATGATGTCCTCGGTCACTGGCTGTACTGTTTATTACCTTCGCCAAGAAGGTTATGTTTTCAGTAGCGTTTGTCTGTTTGTTTGTTTGTCTGTTTGTCTGTCTGTTTGTGAACAGCATAACTCAAGAAGCTTAGTATGCATTGTCATGAAACTTGGTATGTGGGTAGGTCTTGATGAGACCTAGAAATGATTAGATTTTGGGACCCCTTGCGGCTTTTGTAGGTACTGCAGCAGAACTTCCGGTTTTGATATCTCGCGATCTGGACATGCTAGGGTCACGAATTTTGGTTGGTAGATAGGTCTTGAGATAGGAAAGAAGTGACATGAGTTTGGGCCCCCTAGCGGCTTGTTCTGGAACTGCAGGAGCATTTGTTGAAAAATTTTCGAAGGATAATAACTCAAGAACTGGTTGACGGATTGTCGTGATTTTTGGTATGTAGGTAGCTGAAGGGATGCTTGACATAATCAAATGACAATTATGCAAATCAGGAGCTAATTTACATAATTAATGAGGACATTCTATAAATCTGCTTTGTTCGATAATAGGACTATGAAACACTTGTGACATGTAATTGAGAATGAAAAAAACATCTGAGGATATAGATTATGTAAATGAAGACCTAATTTGCATAATAAATGGGAAATGTTCATAACTGCTGGTTAACTGCTTTGTTGGTTGTAACTGCTGGGAATTTCATACTTGAAGTTAAGTGAAGGCGAACATCAATAAACTTAATTTATTCAAATTATGACCTCATTTGCATAATTTATGAGGAAGTGCTATAATAGCCTTCTTGTTAAGATAAAGCTGTCATTGGGTGGAGAATAAGATCAACTGATATAACTCATGCAAATGAGGGTCTTATTTGCAAAATCAATTATCAAAATTAATTGTATAATTCTTCAACCGCAAGGGTTAACATCATTTGGCGAAGGTATGAGATCGTGGAACTCTTGTTTACAAAATGAAATACTTGTGGTCAACAAAGTCCTATCCACTTTGGGCTGGTGAATGTGTATTTAGAATTCATCTAGTATCTATCCAACAGTTTACATATACCGAATATATCACGGTCAATTTCTGCCACCATCATGTTGGTTATTGCTATCCTTTCCTAATTCTCTCCCCATCCATTCTGCAGTACTGTGGGTGTGAGCCCCACGGCTGCAAAGTACTGACCAACGATGGATAGTCCTGTGATAGGAAAGAGAGAATGTCATTTAATGTTAATTTTGACTATATTCATTATCATGCCATTCTTTAAAGTTAGCATTAAAAAATTAAACCCACTATTGCTAACCTAAGGTAAAACAAGACTGGCAATGAAAACATACATTGCCATGGCGACGGTGGTTGCTGTTAGGGTTATTGTTTGCATGGCACTGCCATCATTTCATGATTTTGAGGTAGCCTCGGTACCTGATAAGTCTAGACAGATACAGTGCACTCCTCCCCTGAGTGTATAGTGAACGAGCCCCGGGGTCACAGAAAGTTCCATCTGGGGCAGAGAGGTCTTCCAAAGGGTTGAAGGAGTGTGGGCATAGATGTGGGTCAGAGAAATTCCTGTGGACATTCCGCATGCCTGTGGACAATAATGCCTGTACCATCTAAGACATGTGGGAAGGAATGGGGTCAAGAATGTAAAACTTCCACTTGGAAGGCATATGGGAAGGAATGGGGTCAAGAATATAAAACTTCCACTTGGAAGGCATGTGGAAATAGCAAGAATGTAAAACATCCACTTGGAAGACATGTGGGAAGGAATGGGGTCAAGAATGTAAAAC